AGGCAGAGAGAGGCAGAGAGAGGCAGAGAGAGACAGAGAGGCAGAGAGAGGCAGAGAGAGGCAGAGAGAGGCAGAGAGAGGCAGAGAGAGGCAGAGGGAGGCAGAGAGAGGCAGAGGGAGGCAGAGAGAGGCAGAGAGAGGCAGAGAGAGGCAGAGAGAGGCAGAGAGAGGCAGAGAGAGGCAGAGAGAGGCAGAGGGAGGCAGAGAGAGGCAGAGAGAGGCAGAGAGAGGCAGAGAGAGGCAGAGAGAGGCAGAGAGAGGCAGAGAGAGGCAGAGGGAGTCAGAGAGAGGCAGAGAGAGGCAGAAGGAGGCAGAGAGAGACAGAGGGAGGCAGAAGGAGGCAGAGAGAGGCAGAGAGAGGCAGAGAGAGGCAGAGAGAGGCAGAAGGAGGCAGAGAGAGGCAGAGAGAGGCAGAGAGAGGCAGAGAGAGGCAGAGGGAGGCAGAGAGAGGCAGAGAGAGGCAGAGAGAGGCAGAAGGAGGCAGAGAGAGGCAGAGAGAGGCAGAGAGAGGCAGAAGGAGGCAGAGAGAGGCAGAGAGAGGCAGAGGGAGGCAGAGAGAGGCAGAGAGAGGCAGAGAGAGGCAGAGAGAGGCAGAGAGAGGCAGAGAGAGGCAGAGAGAGGCAGAGGGAGGCAGAGAGAGGCAGAGAGAGGCAGAGAGAGACAGAGAGAGGCAGAGAGAGGCAGAGGGAGGCAGAGAGAGGCAGAGGGAGGCAGAGAGAGGCAGAGGGAGGCAGAGAGAGGCAGAGAGAGGCAGAGAGAGGCAGAGAGAGGCAGAGAGAGGCAGAGAGAGGCAGAGAGAGACAGAGAGAGGCAGAGAGAGGCAGAGGGAGGCAGAGAGAGGCAGAGAGAGGCAGAGGGAGGCAGAGAGAGGCAGAGAGAGACAGAGAGAGGCAGAGAGAGGCAGAGGGAGGCAGAGAGAGGCAGAGAGAGGCAGAGAGAGGCAGAGAGAGACAGAGAGGCAGAGAGAGGCAGAGAGAGGCAGAGAGAGACAGAGAGAGGCAGAGAGAGGCAGAGGGAGGCAGAGAGAGGCAGAGGGAGGCAGAGAGAGGCAGAGAGAGGCAGAGAGAGGCAGAGAGAGGCAGAGAGAGGCAGAGAGAGGCAGAGAGAGGCAGAGGGAGTCAGAGAGAGGCAGAGAGAGGCAGAAGGAGGCAGAGAGAGGCAGAGAGAGGCAGAGAGAGGCAGAGAGAGGCAGAAGGAGGCAGAGAGAGGCAGAGAGAGGCAGAGAGAGGCAGAGGGAGGCAGAGAGAGGCAGAGGGAGGCAGAGAGAGGCAGAGAGAGGCAGAGAGAGGCAGAGAGAGGCAGAGAGAGGCAGAGAGAGGCAGAGAGAGGCAGAGAGAGGCAGAGGGAGGCAGAGAGAGGCAGAGAGAGGCAGAGAGAGGCAGAAGGAGGCAGAGAGAGACAGAGGGAGGCAGAGAGAGGCAGAGAGAGGCAGAGGGAGGCAGAGAGAGGCAGAGAGAGGCAGAGAGAGGCAGAAGGAGGCAGAGAGAGACAGAGGGAGGCAGAGAGAGGCAGAGAGAGGCAGAGAGAGGCAGAAGGAGGCAGAGAGAGACAGAGGGAGGCAGAGAGAGGCAGAGAGAGGCAGAAGGAGGCAGAGAGAGGCAGAGAGAGGCAGAGAGAGGCAGAAGGAGGCAGAGAGAGGCAGAGAGAGGCAGAGAGAGGCAGAGAGAGGCAGAGAGAGGCAGAGAGAGGCAGAGGGAGGCAGAGAGAGGCAGAGAGAGGCAGAGAGAGGCAGAGGGAGGCAGAGAGAGGCAGAGGGAGAAAGAGAGAGGCAGAGAGAGGCAGAGAGAGGCAGAGAGAGGCAGAGAGAGGCAGAGAGAGGCAGAGAGAGGCAGAGAGAGGCAGAGAGAGGCAGAGAGAGGCAGAGGAGAGGCAGAGAGAGGCAGAGGAGGCAGAGGAGCAGAGAGAGGCAGAGAGAGGCAGAGAGAGGCACAGAGGGAGACAGAGAGAGGCAGAGGGAGGAGAGAGAGGCAGAGAGAGGCAGAGAGAGGCAGAGAGAGGCAGAGAGAGGCAGAGAGAGGCAGAGAGAGGCAGAGAGAGGCAGAGAGAGGCAGAGAGAGGCAGAGAGAGGCAGAGAGAGGCAGAGAGAGGCAGAGAGAGGCAGAGAGAGGCAGAGAGAGGCAGAGAGAGGCAGAGAGAGACAGAGAGAGGCAGAGAGAGGCAGAGAGAGGCAGAGAGAGGCAGAGAGAGGCAGAGAGAGGCAGAGAGAGGCAGAGAGAGGCAGAGAGAGGCAGAGAGAGGCAGAGAGAGGCAGAGAGAGGCAGAGAGAGGCAGAGAGAGGCAGAGAGAGGCAGAGAGAGGCAGAGAGAGGCAGAGAGAGGCAGAGAGAGAGCAGAGAGAGGCAGAGAGAGGCAGAGGAGGCAGAGAGAGGCAGAGAGAGGCAGAGAGAGAGAGCAGAGAGAGGCAGAGAGAGGCAGAGAGAGGCAGAGAGAGGCAGAGAGAGGCAGAGAGGCAGAGAGAGGCAGAGAGAGGCAGAGAGAGGCAGAGAGAGGCAGAGAGAGGC